TTCATAGCCAAGCAAACTTTATCGATAGAGAATATTTTATTTTGAAAGGAAATATATATCTGAATCAACATTATGTGAGATCTACAATCAATATGTCCATATCATACATAGGGAATTGTTGCCACAAAACTGTATAGGGTCTAAAAAATTTTTTAATGTGACTTAGTGCACTAATCGTACATTTTAATGTTTTCATTGTTAATAAGCGTATAAATTACCACGTCTAACAAAGTAAATATTAGATATGTATCTGTGTTGTTAATATTTAAAGCCATCGAAAAATATTAGTAAAATTACTATTGAGAGATTAAACAAAAATTAACTAAATTATATGAAAAAAAATTATATAAACAAAAAAATTTTCAACCATTTTATAACGAATTAAGTATGTTGATATAAATATAAGGTCCAAATTTATAAAGAGAAAAGAGAAATATTTTAAGGACCTTATTCACAACAATTTTCAAAGGTTTATAGAACAAATTTTCTCTGAAAATTCCGTTTGTAACATATGGAAATATTGGTCGTAGACCCACAAAAGTATATACATATATTCCGGGCCGTTATAAAATTCTAAGATGATGTCCATCCACCTGTCCGTTGAAAGCACGATGGAGACCACACGAAGCAACTAGACCGGTGTAGTAATCTCCTCAATAAATTTGATAACAATCGGTTCATAATTAACCTTACCCCCCATATATAGTCCCCTTCAGAAAATGATTTTAAAGATCTTTTCATCTCTGTACCAAATTTGATAAGGAAAGATTTTTAATTGACCCCACCACCCATATAAAATAACCTTCCGAAAATGACTTTAACCGTTATGATTGCCTTAAAACTAGCAGTAAATTCACAAAATTTTATAAGTTTTATAAGAATAAAACCTTAGATCCCTTCAGAAAATTACGATTTCATACACATCTGGCTATAAATCGGTTTACCTTTTAAGGTCACTTTCAGAAAACGATTTTGACGGTCATAACTGGCTTAATAATAGAAGTATATTGCTACATTGGTATTTAAATTAGTCAATTTTCTATTTTTTTGAAATTTATTTATACATATTTTCCATGCTTTAGAAATTCCAATTGCCCGAGATTTCGATCTCAGAATTACGGGATTTACTTTTGAAACCCGCATTACAGGATTTCTAAAAATCAAATTCTGTTGGCATCCCTAGTTGTACTAAAACAAATTACAACAGCTTTTCAATATGATTGTTGTCTTTACTAGACTTTATATTCCGTACAGCCTGAAAGTATGCTATACTTATTATTAATTTACTTTTCTTTGTTTAGTATATCTTCTCCACGAAAATCTGTCCCCATATAAAACATGAAATCCGCAATTTGATGACAAATCCCCACATCTGGCGACATTGCCGCGTAATAACATAAGACCTTGTGACGTCACTTTTTAATAGAGATGTTTAAAAACAATAACAATCAAAGTTCATTATAACAGAAAGAAACCTGTTGAATCACAGAAATACGTCACATTATTTTTTGTTGTTCAATCTCTGCATGGGAAATTTTTCCAAACAAAATTCAATGAATTTTGTTGTAGTTGGTCTTCAACTTGACCGAAAACTATAGGAAAAAAAACGGAACAACGTGACTTGACAAAAAAGAAATGTGTATAAAGCGGCGAATACTCATTGCATGAGTAATTAACATTTAAATAAAAACAACCAGACAAACGTAGTAAATGTTTGTAGTTAGTTCATTCATTCATTTGTGTTTTTTTATATTCGTACTCTACTTTTACCATATGTGGAGTTGAGAAATGAAAAAAAACACACACAGAATTAAAATCTTTTGAGTGAATTACATTCCTACCAAATGTATCACTGGCAAAAGAAAAAAAATCAAAATTTAAACTTCATGAATGAATGGTTGAAAACAAATTTAAAATTGACCGCAAATGATATTTGCTGCTTAATTGTTGGTATTAAAATAAATATTGTGGTTTTGAAATATTTGATATTTATTAATGCTAATTTTCTTTTTGTTTTAATCACAAAAATTCTTTAAATATTATTCAATATGATTATAGGCTGTGGTGTATCACTTTTTTATTTTTTATACATATAGGTACTTAATTTTTTGGACATTTTTGAAAAGAAAAAAATTTTTTATACTTGGAGAATTTATCGAAAAAATATTATTTCTTTTACATATAGAGAATTTTTCTGAAAATTTCTTTTAAAATAAATTTTTTCGAAATTGTTCAATAAATAGAATTGTTAGAAAATTTATAAAGAGAGATATTTCGCAATTTATTATAAATCAGGAATCTAATAAATAGGGAATGTTTTGCTTAATTTTGTTATAATAGAGGATTTATTGAAAATGTTCTTTAAATTCAACTTTTTAATGTAAAACTTCAGTTTTTAAAGAATTTTTTTTTTTTCATTTTTGAATGAGTACTTTTCGAAACATTTCTAAACTGGAATGTTTCGAAATCTAGACCGTAAATTTTCTAAAAATCGAAAATTTTGGTAAAATTCCTACAAAAATTTTACGATAAATTTTTTATAATTTGAAATTTTTTCAAAAATTTTTTATAAATTTAAATGTATCAAAATCTATAACTTAAAAAAAATTACATCGTAAATTTTATAAAATTCGAAAATTTTGTTCAAATTCCTGTAATTTTTAAATTTAATTTAAATTAATTTTTATAAATTAAAAATTTATCGTAAATTTTTTATACATTGAAAATTTATCGTTAATTTTCTGTAAATCGAGAATTTATCGTAAATGTCTTTAAATGGAAAATTTCTCGTATTTTTTTAATTTATGTTTTATCGTAAATATTTTATATAAATCGAAAATTTAACGTAAATTTTCTGTAAATATAGAAATTATGGAGAAAATATTGTAAATTGGAAACTTATCATAAAGTTTTTAAAAAACGAAAAGTTATCGTAAATAGAAAATTTATCGTAAATTGTCTCTAAATCGAAAATACATACATATATCGTTAATTTTTAATAAATATCGAAAATTTATTGTAAAGTTACTATAAATCAAAAATTAATCGTAAATATTTTATATATCGAAAATTTATCGTAAATTTTTTAAAAATCAAAAATTTATCATAAATTTTCTATAAATCGAAAATTTATTTTTAAATTTCTATACATCGAAAATTTATCGTAAATTTTTTAAAAATTGAAAATTTATCGTGAATTTCCTATAAATCGAAAAATTATAGTCAATTTACTATAAATCGAAAATTTGTCGTAAATTTTCTAAAAACCGAAAATTTATCGTAAATTTTCTATAAATCGAAAATGTATCGTAAATTTTCAATAAATCGAAAATTTGTCGTAAATTTTATATAAATGGAACATTTATTGTAAATTTTTTATAAATCGAACATTTAACGTAAATTTTCTATAAATTTCGTAAATTTTTTATAGATCGAAAATTTATCGTAAAATTTCTATAAATCGAACATTTGTCGTAAATTTTCTATAGATAGAAAATTTATTGTATATTTTCTATAAATCGAAATTCTATCGTAAATTTTCGATTTATCGAAATTTATCGTAAATTTTCTATAAATCGAAAATTTATCGTAAATTTTCTATAAATCGAAAATTTTCTATAAATCGAAAATTTATCGTAAATTTTCTATAAATCGAAAATTGTATCGTAAATTTTCTATAAATCGAACATTTGCCGTACATTTTCATAAAAATCGAAAATTTATCGTAAATTTTCTATAAAACAAAAATTTATTGTAAATTTTCTATAAATCAAAAATTTAACGTAAATTTTTTAAAAATCGAAAATTTGTCATGATTTTTTTAAAATTCAAAATTTAAGTAAATATTCTAAAAAATCTAAAATAAACTTAAATTTTCTAAAAATCGTATATCGTATTTTCTCCAATAATCAAAATTGTATCGTATATTTTAATCCTAATTTTAACGTAAACATTGTAAAATTGAAACTAATTAATTTAAAATTCAAAATTTATCTTTAAAAAAAATATCGTAAATTTTCTATAAATCGTAATTTCTTTTAAATTATAATATTCTATAATATTGTCTATAATGAATTTTATCGTTATTTTTTACCTAAATTTTATCGTAAATATTTTATAAATAAAAATGATTGTAAATTTTCTCAAAATCGAAAATGTTTCGCAAATTTTGCATAACTCGAAAATGTATCGTAAATTTTCTAATCGGAATTTTTGTAATTTTTATAGAAAATTACAAATTGAAATTTTACCGTATAAATCGAATTTTTTTTGAAATTTTTAATTTTTTATTAATTTTTATTATTATATAAATTAAAAATTTATCAACAATTTGCTGTAAAACGAAAATTAATCGTAAATTTCCTTTAAATATAACATTTTTCGTAGATTATATATAAATATAAAATTTATCGTAAATTGTTATAAGTTTATCGTAAATTTTCTATAAATGAAATTTTTTTTTTGCAAATTTTAGAAAATTTTATAAAAATTATAAATTTTTAAAATTTTCTAGAAATCATGAAATTTTTTTATTATACGTTAAAATATTTTAAAAATCTATAATTTTAAAAAAATCATGAATTTAATAGACACATAGTTTTTTGTAATTAAAAATATAATTTTTTTTCTTTTCAGACTAAGAATCTGCAGCTAATTTTGGTAAGTTATTAATTGAGGTATTTAAAAAAAATATTTATTATAAAATTCTATCGTAATCATACCCATAGTGAAGTACTGTATACAAATTTATTTACTCATTATTTATTAATTACAAATTATGTCTCCTCCAATTATACGTAAACAAATATTAAATTTATTTGTCACTTCTCTTTTCAAAGTTTTCGACTGTTACTTGCCTCTGGTATTTTATTGCTTTTTATTGTTCTTCTGTGTTTTTTTTTTTCATTTTTATTATTTGATTGTTGACGATCAGTTTTATTTTTGTTTTGTTTTTTATTATTATTTTTGTTTGTTATAAAATTTTTGTTTAATTTTAAAACTTCAAAATTCATTTTAATAAAAAAAGGTTTTTTTGATAAATAAAAATACGTACGCAAGAGCAGAAACAAATTAAAAGTGCAATAATTTATTCAATGATTTTTTTTTGTTGTAATTTAAAACATTTGACGGCGACTTAAAAAACAAGTTGGAATAACTTAAACAAAAAAAAAAAAATATTTCTTGGGCTTAATCCCATGATTTCGTCATATAAATTTGTTTCAAATCAATTAAAAATATTGGCCAAATATTTAAAATTAACGGCAGGCAAAGTTATTTGTTCTCTACTAAATAACGTAACAATTATAACAAGACGTCGTATTCTATAGAACAATGGCAGCACACGAGAGACCTTGTCTGCCTGGGGCCCAGAATTATAGGAAACTTTATCAAAATCTTAATGACCTCAAGTAAGTATGTATACACTCATCTTCAAAATTAGTTAATAATTCGCAGAAATTGCATATTGAAGCTAAAAATGACATAAAAATGTACAAATATTTATTGCAACAAAAAAATCCCCCGTTTCTTTAAAACAAAGTTTGTCCAAAAATAAAAATGTCATTGTTAACTTAAACCATTTGGAAGGTTACTTTGTATTTATAGCTCGACTTTTGACGTCACTCTGGTTTAATATTTAACTTTTCACTTTAAAACCCAAGTTCTGGCTTATTCACTGTGTCAACAAAAAAGCCGCCACTAATTTTGTATTTTTTGATTTCAAAAAAATACAATTCCCTCATTCAAATATGATCTAACGCATGTTCTGCGGTTAAATACGGTAAATTAAAAGTGTTAAGTAAAATTTTAAAGCCTAACAAAAGAGAGAGAGAAAAAAGGGGTGTTAGAGAGTTCAGAACAAACATCTGGTTTTATTTATTAAAAATGGCAGTGGATCTGTCTGACGATAAAATTGTATAATCAAATTGTTAGCACCTTTTTTGGTGTCTGTGGTCATGTTTAGAAATTATCTTAAATTCATACGAATCTGTTGGGAAAACCACAATTAGACTTCGTTTAAAGCAACTGTTTTTTTATGAATGAAAAGTGTTTTTTTTATTATTGTTATTAGCACTTTATTAAATAAGTTCTAAATATATCTAATGAATTGAGATGGTTAGTAATTCTAATGTGAGACACATAATGATTTATAACCAATAGTTTTTTTAAGGCATATTGGTTCAATAAACTTGGACTGTGAATGTTTTAAATGTCACGTACAATAGTAGAGCTAAGTCTATTAATCAGTTGTCTGTAAATAAAAAATGTTATGTTTTATGATTGGCTAGGAAAAGACTCTCAAAGATTGTGTGGGTAAATTGTTATTCATGCTAAATAATGAAATTATATGAATAACTAGCATACCCTGGGTGCTTCGCTACCCTAATTAAAATTAAATACATACAAAATTTTGTTTACTTTTACAGAAAATTAAAATTGATAAAATTTTTTTTAATGTTTTAGTTTTTTACGTTCAATGTCACGTGAATAAATTCGCATTCAGTAAGAAGTTGTATTTTTAGTTTCATGAAAAATTAAAAAGTACCAAAAGTCCCTTTCAGTAGATTCTCATTCACTAAGGTCCCTACATTTTAAATTTTATATTTCTATGTTCAATATCTTAAAAAAAAGCACCATCGGAAAAACGAAGAAGTGCAAAAATTTCTCTCAATAAATTCTCATTTAATAAGGACCGTGCGCATGTGTTCCGGTAACCATTATAGAGAATTCAAAAGGTACCATATGAAGAATGGAAAAGTACCAGAGTTCCCACTTACAGAATATTATTCAGTCAAGACCATATATGTTAAAATTTGTATTCCTAAGTTGAATATTTTAGAAAATTCAAAAAGTACTATTTATGAGATAAAAAGTACTAAAAAGTTCTCTCTTAAAGAATCTTATTTAATGACGACCGTGTATGTTTAATAATCATGTGCTTTTAATTAATTTTATAGAACATTCAAAGAATATCATTTGAAGAAAGAAAAAGTACCAAAAGTTGAATAAATTCTACCTTAGTGGAAAGTACTAATAAAAAGAGTACAATTTTTCTCCTTTTCGCTTAGAGATATACTTTTTCGAGAATTAAGTTTACAAAATGTTCCGTATTTAAATATATATATCACAGATACAACTCAAACGATTCAAATCTGCATTAATTTGCTTCAGAAAAATTGTGCTTTCAATAAGTACCAAACAATTTACAATTTACGAATTTGGCCCTATATATCCCTTAGTACCCGAATTCCAAAATAATATACCAACAGCTTATTTTGTGTGAGTAAATAAACTACTTTTTCAAATTTTATAAAAATTGGCTCAATGAGTTTGAATAAAATAAAATTTCCCGTTTTTACCCTTTTTGGTACCTTTTTCCCCAGTGAAATAACAAACATTTTTTTTTTCAATAAATATTACAGAATTAGTCTGTAATTTAATAGGAATACTTCAATAAATAGAAAAAGTTTTCACATTAGCTAAAAAAAGTACCAAAAATGCAGTTTTCTACCTTTTAAACCCAAAAAGGACTGAATTTTAAAAAAGTACGAAACGGGTGTCTCGTAATTTTGGGAGAAACATTCAAAATATTTACAAAAATGTTATTTTGTTTATTAGTTAACAAGTTATAAAAGGCCAAAAAAGGTACCAAAATCACCTTTGTTACACATTTTCACCCCTTAAAAGTACAAATTTCAAAAAAGTACCACACACCCATCTGATTTTAAGAGTATATACAGGTGCATTTAAAATTCTTCTTGTATCACTAATATTGGGTAAGATAATTAAGAAAACCTGTTTTACCAGTTTTTTCCCCCTTTTTACCACTAAATGTACAAATGTCCAAAAATTCCTCCTTAGTGGATCTACATAGCCAATAACACATCTACTGTCAAAATTTCATGATTCTAGATTCAGCCGTTTGGGCTGTGCGATGATGAATCAGTGTTTCAGTAACGCCCTTAAAGGAAATTATAGAAGCTTTCATTTGAGCAAAAAATGGAGTTTTTTTAAAAAAAAATATTTCAAAAAAATATTAAAAAAAAAATAAGAAAAATTAAACAAATTATTGTAAATAATGAAGAAATAACTATCTTAACCCCTTTGGACAATTTTTGCTAGGACCAATAGGTGAAAAGTTACACTCATTTGAGTAAAAATCTGTATGAGCAAAATGTCTATCTTTGGCCCCCTCTAAGTCTGGTAGTTTTGGACCGATAGAGTAAAAATTTGTTTCTGTCCTACTATCCAATAGTACTAACCTTGGTGCAAATTTCATCAAAATCGATTTTTTGAGTTGGGTCAAGATACGACAATTTTAACTGAGATCAAAATTTTCAGTCGCTAAGAGGGATCTGAAGTCCTTTTCAAAAAAATATTTTTGATTTTTCTCGTGTTCAATACATTAATACGCATCGATTGAGAGATATTTCTATTTGAGAGTGTTAAAGTGGCAGTTTCCTGGGACACTCTAATACCCCTCTAGCGAAAGTGGAGTCTTTACAAACTTCTTCAAAGAACATTTGTCAAACATGCTCTGTACAATAGATATTTGATGTAAATCGAGGTTTCAGTGTATTTCATTCACAAAAAAACACCATTTTTACAAAACGTCATAGAATTTATAGCAATTACCCAAACGTACGATTCGTGGAAGAACATAAAGAGGATATAGCAAGTTAAACAAAATTTTGTTTATTTTGTAATCACTTAAAATTTTTGAAAAAATTTAATATTTTCAACATAAAAACGATATGATGACACAATACATATTTATCTGCTAGACATTCCAAATGAATTTGTTTTTATTATAAAAATTCCGCATAATATTTTGATATTAAGACAAAGAAATGTAATAGACTTAAGATATCTTAATGCAAACAAATTTGATTTTAAAATAGATATTTTTTAGAAATATTCAAAATTAGAGAATCCTTAAAAAATTTTAACAATTTTTTTTGATTAGCGAACTACTTTATATCATTTCTTTTATGCATGAACCAAGATTAACAAATGATTCAGTGCAAAAGATTTTTTTGTTAGAGTTTTTGTAAAATGTATTTATTTGCTATTGTAAATAAACAAACTAATATTTATAATACAAAAAAGCAAAGTTATTCCCTAGCTATTAATACACTTATTAAAAATAATTGCTATTATTAGCGTTTCACACCTGTAAACAAATCTGTAGTCAAAATCTATTTTTAAAATATAAATATTCTAAAAATAACTATATATTCGCATAAATTCATTCATATTTCGTTAAAAATATTTTTTACTGCAGATTTATTAGTTTAGGAATAAACATTAAAACAATTACGTTTAAAAATTATAAAAATACGACGACTAGTATGACGTTATTGTTTTATGAGCAAAATTGTTTTTGTTTAGAAGCGAAATTATTTAACACATTTTATGATTTACAAACAAATTATATATTTTCACACATTAGAAAGAGGATGGAAATAATAAGTTGAAAATTTATTTGGTAAGTGATGAATTTGAGACACCCTGCTGAAATCTGGAATGGATAAAACTTATGAATCAAATACGGATTTTTTATAAAAAATTGGAAATTAAAATATTTAAGTTTAACTTGTTCTCTTTGATTTAAACTGAAATTTGTTAACCATAACTAAAGAAGTTGGTTGCTCTAACTATTCAGTTGTTATATCAAAAAAATTTTAAATTGATTTAGGTTTCAAATGGGAAGCTAAATATTTATGGACGAAGTTGGTTGCTCTAACTATTCAGATGTTATATCAAAACAATTTTAAATTGATTTAGGTTTAAAATGAGAATTAATTAATAAATGGACTTCATTAAGTTATAAAAAACCAATTACGTTGTATACCCAGCAAAAACTAAAAAATTAAGAAGTTAAAATGCTAAAAGTTATTTACACAATAGCATTTTAAATCATTATTTTAACACGGTGATGACATTGGAGGCATATATTTACAACGGTCGCTTACAAGTAGGGAGTTTGGTAAGTACTTACTATGATACGAATTAGTTTTGTTTTAGACAAAAAAAGCCTAGTTTTGACAAAAAAAATATTTTTATTAAAAATAACATTTGAAAACAAAACGTCAAGACTAGTAAGTAAGTACTTCTGAGCAATATAGGCTGTATGTAGTAGACATTGAAAAGTAAGTTCTTAAGTTCATTGCCATGTTTTAGCTTCGTAATTTACGAATCATTTCGATATGTTTCAAATCGTATGAAAAAATCAAGATAACTTCCAATCTAGTTAAATATATACGGCTATTTCTTCCCTCTTTTTCACACTAAAAACAATAGAAAAATACAAGAAAAAGCAAACAAAATTTTTGTGACGTCTTTGGTTCATACGTATCAATAATATGTGTAAGTGTTAAATTTACTAATTTTAAATATAACTAATTCA